GCGTAACCAAAAGATCCGGGTTCGATTCCCGGTCGGGGTCGTCCGAATTATTTTTTCTATTTTCTGAGCTAAAGTTAATCAAGATGACTTTTAAGCCCTTATTTAACTAAAAATGTTTTAAGTAACTATTGGGGTTCAATATAATAAATAATTTCAGGTATAAGAACTTCAATTAAGGTAGTACTACCGGTTTTAGAATTGACGTTCAGAATTTGATGAAACTTGGCATATAGGTACATAATAATATCTTAATTAACCACTTAAATTTTTGGAGGCCTACCGAGAACTGAAAAAAGATATTCATATTTACATATTTTTGCCTTAACCATTGCGGCTGTCCAATTTCAAAATACAGTAACTGACAATATTAAGATTTTTAAAAATTTTTCTTATTAAAAAAAAATTTGCGCACCAAATTGATAAAAAATTTGATTTATGAATAGAAAATATTCGAATATAAATATTTTTAAGAAAAAGTAATTGAAATTGAGGTCTAAAAGTTATAAGAAATGCAGCAATACTAAAAAAAATCAGGTATAAAAATTTTGCAGTTACTGTGTTTTAAAATTGGGCAGCCAATTGATCCTTAGGGAAAATCACAGACTTTATTTTATTTCACAAAACTGGACGTTCAGATTCTTATAAAAATTAAGACAACGAGAGAAAATAACATCTAGAACATACTTAATAACAATCAGTATGGTTTCCAAGAATATGAGAATATAATAATAATAATTCTAATAGTTCAGACCGGGACTCGAACCCGGGCTGTTTAGTTGCGCGCCCAATGCTCTATCAGTTAGGTTATCTGAGACACTTATGAGAATATTTATTAATAAAAAACATTCAAAATTTATCTCTGTCTCTTTCTCCAACGCGATTTAGTATAGGGAAATCTACTACGTTAATCAAATAAGGTTAGGTCTTGGGATTTGACTCTTGTGGTAACGGTAGTACTACCTTAAGCCCATATTTAACTAAAAATAGCTTGGGTAATGTAAAAAAATTTTGAAAATTGGATTTTTGACTGACTTCAGAACAAAAAAGTCCGAATTTCACGTATTTTTTGTCAACTTTTAGATACAAAAAAAAATAGAAATTTCCAAAATTTCTTTTTAATCAGTCCACTCGGTGTATTTAAATATACTGATTAAAACCCCGCCTTTTTTTGTTTCAGATAAGTCAATCAAATATTATCATGGGGGAAGTGAGAGTCCATTTTTTTAAAGGCGGATGTCTTCAAACCATTATAACTTTAATTCTACTGAATATTTTTAGCTAAAAATTTAACTGTATACTCTTGAAATATGTATAAATAAATGGTAAAAAGTTCAAAGTTCTATTTCTTCATTGGTCTTTACAAAAAATTCCTAAAAAATGCTCAAAAATCAGGGAGTCAAACCAAAGGACCCCCTCAATCCAAATGACTATTAAGCCCATTTCGACGTTCTAATTAGCAAATTGTCTAGCTCCAATTTAGAAAATCTTCCATTTGTGCGAAAAAACAATTAATTCAGATATAATATTTTCGTTTGGATCATTTCATTAATTTATAATTGGACTGTTGTTACATCAAAATGTTAAAAAAAAACCTTCCAAAAAATACGGAGTTAGACCAATTGCTCATTAGACCGTCGATATTTAACTAAAAATAGTTTAAGTAACTATTTATTTAATTGAGATTCAATGTAATAAATAATTTCAGGTATAAGAACTTCAATTAAAAAGTAGTGATGATGCTATTTAACTAGATTTTCCTAGTTTAGAAGACTATATTTTTCTCTCAGTGTGTATATTATAATCCAATTTGGTATCAAGAAATCTTTAAGCAATAAAAAATTTCCTTTCACTTGATAATTTAGTAACAAATGAAGAATGTCATGATCTAACGTTATCTGAAGATGCAGTAGACGAGGGACATGATCTGACAACAGATATAGTGACAGCACAGGTAATCTGATGTGACTTGATCTGGTTCCATTATCTTAAGGTACACATTAGGAGTGAAGATGTAAGATATGATTTCTGAGATCATAAGACATTCAAAGTCTTCCAGTGACGTGATCTTGCTGTACTCCGAGATTCATTCTACTAATTTATAACTGGTGACGTGGGTAATTGCTTAGAATAACATAAATTCCAATCTAAAGAATATAACATAGCTTGCATGAAGAAGTATAAATGGCAAGCTATTAATCTTCACGTAATATCACCGTTGGAATATTTTTACTGTATATACTGTAGACAGTTATGCTACAGTAAAGTCACTTCTATAGATAGCAAAAATGCCTAAGGCCGTGCTATTTTGCCACCATATATTGAGAATAAATTTATTTTAGAAAATATAAGCACTGTTGTGATGAAAAATTGGATTGTTTTAATCTAATTATACATAATATAATACTAAAGTTAGCCGAAGTTTCTAATTTTTTTATTTTTTTCCATTTATTAAATTGGACCAAAAAAAGATTTTTTAGAAATTGCACTCAAAGTTTTTCAAGTTTTTTACAAATGAAATTTTTTTTTATATTTTTGATGACATTAAAGTTAGCCATCACTTAACCATTTTTTAAGTTTTTTTAACAAATAGATTTTTTCCAAAAAATTATTTTAAAAAAATTGCATTTTTTATTTTTTGAAATTTCTACATGTCAATTTTTTTTCTCTACTTATTTTTTACCATAATTTATTTGTTAAAAAAATTATTAAATATCTACTAAATTAATTTTTATGTATTTTTGTAATAATTTATTTAGCAAAAAAAAATTCTAAAAATTTTTAAATGTCAGCTAACTTAATTTCCATTTACAAAATTAATTTTTAGATTTTTCAAACTTCTTAATTTCTTAGCTGAAGAAAATAAAATTTCTCTATGATTTTTTTTTTTATTTATGAAAAAATTTTTTATTAAAAAAAAAATTTTTTCTTAGCTAAAAAATAAAATTAATTTTCCATCACAAATCTGCTCATTTTTTCCAAAATAAATTTTTTCTCCTATAAACACATAAATCCAATGAATATGGGGTAGTAGTAACGTCTCGTTCCATGTACCTTTTTCTCTCTCAATCTTCGACATCCCTACCGTGTACGAATATACATACACAGTTGTCACGGCAGTAGTAGTAGTAGTAGTAGTAGTAGTAGTAGTTATGGTTGAAGGTATAGTGGAGGTTCGCTCTGGCTGAGGCTCGACACTGCAGATTTATGCGCCCCGCCTTGTGGCGCTGATATCCGAGAACTCACGACCCGTTTCGCTCGTAATGAAAGAAATAAATTTAGTCTCTGCGCCCCGGGGATTGGGACGAGCGCATGAGCATAGCTCACATACACTCTGAAGCGCTCTCTTTGAAAGCTGAAGGATGTATAATGGTGAAAGGAAGGACGAGAAAAAAATTTACCGTGTATCTACACTTGTTATTTACTGTTGTAGATATTTTTTATGGACGGTAAAAAGTATCGGAGTTTTTTATAGTCTAACTTTAAATCTAAGTTTAAATAGATATTTATTAACATACCAAATATAGTAACTAATTTTTTATTTTATTCGGGAAAAAATATTTTGAATTTAAATTATTTTTATAGATAAATTTTTATGTAAAATAATTTAATTATTTTATTGTGTACAGAAAAAAAAAATTTTACATCGAAAAAAAAACAACTGTTAGTCTTAAATAAGATAACTGTGTTCATTTTTAGTGACCCTATACTAAGGTTTACGTTGATAATCTTTATCGGTATAAAATTATATGCTCAGAGAAGTATAATATATAATTTATGTGAATAATGATAAAAATAAAATGATGATGCGATCGATGATAAGTTAATTAATATATGATAAACTTATATATATATTATTTATAAGACAATAAAAAATGACTATGAATAAATAAATAGATTAACACTTATTTGATTCTACAAACATGTTTATTAAAGCAGTATGGAAACTCAACGATATATTTACAATTCCTATTTACACAGCGAGCGACATGTGCATCGTAGGCCAAGTAAGCGTCGATAATACATTGATCCGATAATTTAAAATAATTTATTTTGCATACAATATTTTTATTTTAAAAATATTACTGATTTATGCAAGGTAAAAACATTGTCTTTAATATATATCAACAAATGAAAAATCTTAATATCACAGTTTATACAATGGACATAAAAAAACACGAATCACCATTATCAAAATGGGGAAAAAAAAGTACTTAATAATTTCTTTAATATTGCAAATAAAATTTAAACTTACTAACAACATAACTGTAAATATGTATGCATATTTGTTAATATCTGTTTATGCAAATAAGATGTGTAATAAATAAATGACATTTGATTAAAATGAAAATGGAGATTTATGAATTTATTATATCCACGCCAATGAGTTTGCATTTTATTTATACCGACGCAACACATATGCACAAACGAAATACACACTCGCGTACGCAATTCATACATATATATATATATATATATATATATATGTACATTCACATTGTATACAGACATACTTGTGATATCGCTTGATAATTTATAATCGAGTGGACCAACAATCGTGTAAACGCAATGTTTTATAATGCCCGCTCATAAATCAGTTGTAGCTTGTGTGATAAGTATAGTAAAACTATACTTGCAATTATTATCGAGAAACAACCATCACTTATTAGTCCAGACAGAAAGTACCATGTGTTTTTTATTCATTAAGATACATAATGCATTTTTTTTTTTTTTTATATCATTTTATGATTTTTAGTTAAATTTATTTTTTATTTATGTATCCATAAATATATAATTATTTTTAAATGTTAATATTTATACTTATTTATATATCAATTTTTATCAATATATATATTTAGAGTTTTAGAGATATTTAAATAAAATTTATACAATTTTAATTTACCACGTGTTATTTACAGAAAACACTTAATTTAATATTATTATTATTTTTATTGATAAATCTTGAAAGCTCAATATTTTTACGGAACTCCCAAAAATTAATCTTACGGATGAACTGCAGCACCGATACGTTGACCGTAAATAGCGTAAGGCGAGTAGTAAGGACCGAGAGTATTGAATGCGCTGTAGGGAGATGCACCAAGAGATCCAGGTAGTGGTCCAGTGGGTGGTTTTCCATAGGGATGATAGCGAGCACTAAGAGGACTTAAAGGTGGTGCGGGATAACTGCCACCCGCAGCAGCACGGTGTAACGCAGCCGACGGCGAAAGAAGTGGATGTGGCGGATGGGAATGTTGTCCGGCGGCAAGAAGCGCCGCGGATGCTGCAACAGCATGGTCATTTCCACCGCTAAAACTTGTATGACTCCTCAAATGTTGGAGCAATTCGTCGGAAGTGTTGAATCGCTTGCCACAGTAAGTTTCGCCGGCGATCCAATTACAAACGTAAGGTCTACCGCTAGTTAGCGATCCGGGGTAAGACAGTGATGGTGGTGGCATAGGTCCTAATGATGAAAGTGCCATTGCTAAGCCGTATTTTTGATGCTCACACTGGGTACATCCACTCGGACAAGGACCACCAGTCATCATCATTTGGGCATTGTGCATACTGTACTGACACCCCGTACAATAGGGGTCTTTACAAACGGGTACAAGTGTCTCACCACCAGCTGGTGTTTTTATTCGAGTGTAACTTAAATAAGGATTACCAGTAGGAGTAGCTGCCGACGGATAACCAAGTAATGCTGCAGCGGCTGCTGCATGATGATGCGAAAAAGGTGAAGCACCAGCAAACGGTGGCCTAAATGCTGGATTTTCGGTTAATCCTGGCGGACAGCACAATGGATTACCACTAGTAAAACCACTACTTAATGCTGAGTGTTTGTAGGCAGCACTTAAACTTTCTTTAGTATGTCCAGTAGTACCGGACAATACTTCCATGCCTGATCTTATAATCGGACTAGCGCCGTTGCTATTTCGGGGAGAAACAGATTTTTCACAATCTTGCGCTGGTGTTTTACGATCAATTGGTGAAGATGATGCATTGTTACTGCTGGAACCACTGGTGTTTGTTACACTTGGTGAAGCGGATTTACGTCCAAGGGGTGTACGATTGCCACCAGATTTTTTATCAACATTATTGTTATCACTAGCACTTAAACTTTCATTACCACTTGCACTGTGTACACTAGCTTTCGATGTGGGTCTACCATCATCACTTGATTTTTTATTAGAAAGTACATTTGTTTCATATGGCTTAAAGGCCAATGGCTTTGGCTCCGACGGACTACTGCGTGTCCGTTCTAATTTAGCTACCGGCGGAGAGCGTGCATGTGCACCACTTGAAATTCCACTTTTTGAGGATTTGTCCAGTGGAGAAATCAGCGGCTTTGTTGGTGAATCGGCCCCTATTTGACTACATGTTTGAGCGAGCAAAGCTAGCGGACTTTTCTTCGCATCCAACTGTAATGAAAGAAACGAAAAAAACATTGTTAATTTTGTATAATCAAAAATTGGTTGGTACTAATCATAAATTAGCAAACAATGAATACTAACCGTGGTTGGAAGCGGAGAAAGATAATCTGGTTGTAAGTACTGATTATGTCCAGTGGTCAACATACCGCCTTCTTCGAGCACAACCATTTGGTTAAACACTTTTATAATAAACACACAAAACTGTAATCCAGATATTAAAATCACAATTAATTAAGTTGTTATTTAAAATAACAATGTAATTAGCACAATTGAAACAATCGAGAACTTTTTTTGTTTAAATTCAATACAAACAGATGTAAAACGTCTCGTGCGCATTCCATGGATGCAATGAGCGTCGTCAGTAACCAGAACCAGTCGCTTGGTGTGGTAAGACTACAAGCCGTAGCTCCATCTGGTGATGAAGCCCCCACCACTGTATTATAGAATCTTCAGTATGTAGCTTGCTAGCATCCCCCCCTCCCCCCCACCAGAGTGCTAGTGCGAGCAAAAGCGGCTCGAGTATCCGCGGAAGGGGAACGTCGACGCAGATCTCGGTGATGGTCGGCAATGGTCGTGAATGGTAGGGGAGGCATTCTAATTTAACACGCCACCCATGATGTTGGCCCGACGATGACAGCTCGCATCCCGGCTTTGATATTTTACCGCTTTTACAGTCCTTCTCCTCTTTCTCGCTCTCTCAGACCAGCTCGTTCCCTTTTCTCCCTTCACCACTACCATCAACCATCTTCGTTCCCTTCGTCCCGTAAGTTTATGCTCATCTATTTCTGTGTCTGCGTCTCTGATCTTCTTATACTAGTCTACTTCTTCACACAACCCAGGCCACGGTTGTTTTAGGGTATCCTATGAACGTAGAAACTAAAAATTCTACAGCCATGCAGTAGTTATGGATGTATTTCTATACCAATTCACAGTGATGCATTGTGTATGTATACACCATCAACAGCTACGACAGCAGCAACCCGATATTTTATACCGTGAAACCTGTCTGTCTCTTCACCAGCCAGCCGGCTTCGCTTAATAAGCGGCTTTCAAAATAGAAATGTAATGGGCCGCCTGGGGAGAGAACGCCAGGAGAAAACCAAGTGATTGATTGCTACGTCCAACGACTTACCAACTATCACCACTATCGCCGACGGTTTATAAAACTCAATGACAGCCACTTAGCTGTTGGCTCTTAGTGTGTCTGATTATATTTACTTACAATATATTGTGTCAAAAGCATTTTAATTATCGTCAAACTAAGAAATAACATCATGGATTAATCATTTCAGTATTCGTGTTAAATGTTTTTTATTTTTAACTTACATTTTTTATGACTATATTTTTATTCGTCTCTTATTGTAGATACACTGAGAGAAAAATATGGTTCTCTGAACTAGAAAAATCTAATTAAATAGCGTCACCACTATTTAATTAAAGGTCTTATACTTGAAATTGTTTATAATATTAAACCCCAATAGATAGTTGCTTAAACTATTTTTAGTTAAATATAGGCTCAAAAGTCATCTTGATTAACTCAGAAAACGGAAAAAATAATTCGGACAGCCTAAACCGAGAATCGAACCCGGATTTTCTGGTTATGCGTTAAAGGCTCTTCCAGTTGAGCTATCTGAAACATCATTAGTAATAACCTTTCAGTCAGCTAATAATTTTTTGTTTAACACGATAACAGAAAAATATTTATTAAAATATAGCCAATATAACTATTTATCAATAATTACTTAAACTAATGCATAGTTCGAGTAACTACAAAAAAAAAATTCAGAAAACTATGTTTTTAGTAGATTTTATAAAAATCTAACTATTGCAGCCCTCTTTATGGTGCAACTTTTAAAAAATTTAGCCATTTTCTGATTCAGTTTGTCGAGCTGAGTCAGAAAATGTAGTTCGTTCAAAAGTTTATATGTTTATGTATTTATACGATATAACGCGGCTTGTCAGCACGATAGCGTTTTCAATTTATAACCGATTCTTCTCAAACTCAACATGCTTTATCTATCGATAAAAACTGAGGTTAAGTTCGAAGATGAGCTTAATCGGGCGAGTAATTTAAAAATGATAGGATTTTGAAATTTTGAAAATCGTAAAAATTGACGTTTTTACTACTTCAACTTGGTATTATTACTGAACTAGACCAGATATCAAAATTCGGTAAGTTGCATCGTAAAGCTCTTTTATCAAGTTTCAATTTTCGCTCCTCAGAAGTGGTAATAGCTTTAATATTATAATATGGCTACTGGAAATGGCTACTAAATAAATGGCTACTGGAAAAGGCTTATAAATATCGGGTTGGTGAAATACTTTGCACAAAATAGGCCAGAATTGCATGGAGCTAGATTTATAAAGAGGTAAACCATCAATATTAAAAAGTAATTGAAGATGACGGACTTCATGTAATTCTGGATTTACACATTTTTTTAAATTCTCTGTTATTCCAAAATAAACAAATTCTCCTGAATCGTTGTCGGTTAATTTTTCTATGGTATATGGAACATTATTTGTTCCTAGAAATGTTTTAGAACATTTAGGTGGTTCAGGATAACGTGTTCTTCGTAAAATTTTTAAGAGCTCATCTAATCTACTGTGTGGAAGTGGAGGTTCCTTCAAACTCCTTTTAGAGTTCGTTTAACGAAACAGTTTTACTGTTGCAGCCGTTTTAGAATTATTGTCTGCATCATAGCATAATCATGATGTAGATTCAATAATCACGATATTGATCAGTCTTTCGTGTAATGTGTTCGGGGAGGTCGTCAGTAAATATATCACAAATTAGTTCTAAATATTTTTTTTTTCAATTAGAATTTTATTCAGTTTCAAAATTCTGATTAACTTGGAAACTGTTGTTCCTAAGCAGTTACTTAAAATTTGGACATTGATAATAAAAATCTTATAATCTTTGAAATTATTTGATAAATATTCGAGAAACTTTTTCTTTACAAGATAATTTTTTTTACAAAATTGTTTTTCAATAGTTTTAAATTTATTATTGAATTTTGTTTTTAATCAATGAATTAAGTTACACATTATTAGTATCAATATTATTTTATTAAAAATAAATTTTCTTTATATGAAAAATCTACTTCCATTTCAGCTGCCGAATGGGCTTTATTATACTTGTGACGTTATAATTCAGCTAACTATCCACTTTTCTATCAGTGTTTAGTCAGCAAACTGCCTTTATTACCATTTATAATTGAATTATATCGATAGAATACTTGAAACAACAATTGGCTAATTATTTGACAAGAAAATTAACGAGGATAATTGTAAATAACAATCACGTTATCTGTAACTGTTATTTACCTGCAGAAAGCATGTCTGCTTATAATATATCTCTTAATCGTGTCTATATATATGTATATATATATATATATATATAGAAACGGGGATAATTACTCTGGCGAACGTTCCTAAGGGGAATCTTATGAGTTGAGAATAGCACGAATGCTCTCACACGCCAACGAGAGAAAGGGAGGTAACTGAAAGAAAGAGAAAGAATAAGAGAGATATCCTCTGACATAATTTAAATTGAAACTCGTTACCCATGCCTACCAAATGTGTCACCTTGTTGACAACCAGCAAATTAATGTGTAGTATCTTGTTACGTGCTTAATTTTTTTTATTACAAATTTATTTAGTATGAAAAATAACTGACCATGTATTGTTTTACCGCAGACAATATTTATATTAACTAAGATTATATTGAGGATTTAACAATTAGACGGCATTATTTTGACAAATTGGCGCAATAGAAATTCTATTACTTAATTAAAAAAACCGAAATTTATTTAAGAGTCAATGATGCATACGGTAATTTTTTCATATTTAAAATTCAAAAAAGAAAAAATGCAAACTATATGGAGGCTTTGCAGAAGCTAGCTAATGATAGAATGATAGATGAAGGTTGTAAATTTTAATCAGTTGTAAAATTTTAAAAGTTTCTAGTTGAGAATACTAAAGCTAGACTTCTAGAATTGTAAATTTTTAAATATATAATGATAAGCGTCGAAAATTGTTTGTTAATAATAGCTGAATACCTGATTGTACCTTACGGACCGTAAATTCTTACATTTACTAAAATACCACAGCCCTAAAAGTAGCAAGCCTTGTATACTAATAATCATTGTGTAGTAACCATCAGTTTGTTACTAGGTAATAATTTTTTCAGATATAATATATCAGAGGATAAATATACTTTACACTTTAATCTTAGGTTGATTGTTGTTAAATTTACAAGCGAGTTGTTTGAATCCATAAATTTGACAGTATGTACTGTTTGTAGCTAGAATAGTGTACAATGATAGAAAGATTTAGTACTGAGCACTAAACTGATTTAGTAACAAAGTTTTTAGTCATTTATTTGGGAGATAAAAATATTTTTTCCCTATCAATATTATTTGTTACAGTTCAATAAATCATTTTTTTCTTCTAAATAAATTATATTAACATAAACAAAGCTTTATTACATGGAAATAAATATTTGTTTCCACCAAATAATATTTAGTAGTAGGTATTAAATATTTATTTGGTAAGTATTGTTGGTAGATGGCTATGCTTTAATTCCAATGTGATACATGCACGGAGAAAATTAAACTGTAATAAATAATAGTCGATTTATAATAAGTAATGACCAACTGCAAAAAATGACCATTTCAAACAGTAAAATCGTGATTTTACAATTCACTTTATAATATTTATCATTTAAACGCTAGAATTTATTCTTTAAATGGAAGAAAATTCTATTTCAAACAGTAATATTCGCTATGTGAATGTCGAAAGTGTTAAAGTATAATAATTAAAAATTTTGACTTTGATATTTATCATTTCGTACTTAAAAAATGATCGCATGATAGGTAAAAAGTATAAAATAAAGTTACTAAATTTCTAATACAAGCACCGTCAATATTTACAAAGTAAAATGGTAAATTTCAAACACAACGCTAAAAATCAAACTGTAATTATTGACTTGCTTGGACTGGTAAAATGTAAAGTTTAAAAGTATAATTTTTACTGTTTCAAATGTTAAATTCTCCCAGAGTGAGACCCCCTTTTCCTCATCTGAGTTCCTCTTCTCCTCATAGTATGGACTATATATTGAAATGGCAATTTTTACTGTTTGAAACTGTAATTTTTTAAGATGAGAGAGT